TCACGCCAGTCTCAGAAGACCGTGAAGCCTCGCAGACCACGTGTCCGAAAATCGACACCTGCAGTGACGTCTATAGCGCCGACAACTTCACATCTGCATAAAAAATAGTCTTGTTAAAATGTTTCTTGAAAACTGCAGAACTCATACAACTCCACAACTGCAAAAACAGTATTATTTCATTTCAATGCTGCAAATGTAGGCAATTCCAACAAAATACACAACACAAGCAAACGACTTCACTTCGAAAACGATGTTAATAAAATAATTCAACACAACTGAAAATTCATCTTGACCTCAATTAGCGAACTAAATTCATGTAAACCAACCAACCAGTACTAAATTAGCCATAACATAAAAATAGCAAAGAGAACATGGAATGATGAATTGACGAGCGGTTCGATGAGGTGTTGGTTTCTGCCCTCTCGACCATCACCAATGTCAGCTTCGAGCGCGAATCTCTTGAGCAAGTTGTGTTGCCGGTCCGGCTGGGAGGCCTGGGTATCCGTATGTCAAAGGACATCGCGCTCCCTGCGTTCATATCGTCACTCCACTCCGTCCGTGGCCTAGTTGATGCTGTTTTACATAATGTACGACTGGCCGGGGACGACAGTTTGCGGATGGCGATGGATGAGTGGCGCAATGGGAACGCAGGTATCGCTTTGCCCGAGGACGGGAGTTTGGGCCGGCAGAGGACTTGGGATGGGCCTGTGGCCGCGGCCTCCGCGGCGCGGCTTTTGGGAGCGGCGGACCAAATATCCAGGGCTCGTCTACTTGCGGCGGCTTCGCCTATTTTTTTAATAAGATACGCATGAAATCTTTAAATCTCTAATCGGCAATATCAGTAATTTAAACCGGTGCCTCTAGGAGAAAATGAATAGCACGTACGAACTAATACAATCAAAAATCAAGATTCAAAGAACTAACTTTAACTTCACTTAATTGTATTATCCATAAGTCACACCGCACAACCACTAAATCAGTTTAAAAGCTGTGTAAAAGCTAAAATCAGTTTAGTATTGCTGCCATGACTAACCCAAAAAATAGGCTTTATATTCCATTCATATACTTAAAGAATACGTTCTAAATTTGTCGTTCCAGGCTTTGAATTTTTCATGAGGAATGTTACAAACATCTTATATTCACAGCTAGATAGTGTCCAGAATATTCGCACGTCTACACACAAGGCGAGTATTCTGATGTTTCAGACTTGTGTTCTGGTCCACCCGGGCGTTAGCGTATGTTTTTTCCTTCATACAATAAGTGTCAAAGCAGACCGCCGTCTCATAATCCGCCCGTTCGTTTCATTACTCCTCACGCTGAAACTTGAATCTACTGGAGATCGCTGCCGCCCTAAAAGGCACCTGCACATCACGCTGCGCTGTCCGATCGGCCACACTGAAACAGCTGCTCGGACTCCTGTTGCTTCCAAGGTAGATCAAAAGAAAGGCGAGCACACCGAGATAACCCTGCACAAGCAGACGCTTCTAATATTGAATACAAATTCATCTCAAATTGAACACTCGGTTAAAAAAATGAAATTTATCCTAGGAGTAAACTTATCCAAGTCGATTCGGATACAAGGGCAAAGCTAATTTTATTAGCTAATATATATTAATAATATATATAAAACCACCCGTCCAAGCGTCTATCGAGTGGGCGACCTGCGTCGCTTGCTTACTACCTGCTGACAAACGCAGATTAGCGCCTGCGGCGTGCAGAGCTCGAAGCAGCTGCTAAGAGCAGCTGCTTCGAGCTCGAGAGTACCATACTGCAATGTTGTATGTAGGCTGCAAATTCCCTACTTGCATTCTGACCGTAAAGATTAAGTATACCGGCGCTGATGTAGGCAGAGGCTGGTAATAGTAGCTGCGTCAATTCCGGCTTGCGTGTTGGTGCCTCGCTTACAGGGGATTACCTGACCGACGCCTAGGTGAGCTGTATTTTGCGTTACTGTTGAATACTGTTACTGTGTTATGCGTTACCGTGTTTCGTGTTAATGTTCCTGTGCCTTTGTGTGTGTTTACTTATAGGTGGCTTATATTGTAAATAATTAATCTGGCGTCATGTAAAGCCGTTGCTAGGGTAGTCATTAGGCGTAACAATTAACAGTGTACTTACTATGCTTATTTCTCTTCTAGGATCAAGAGCTTTGTCCCTCAATTAGCTCGCTGTCTCTCTCTCCTCCGCGTCTTAGCTCCGTAGTAGGCTATTTGTTAACCTTCTTAGTTTAATAAACCTTGAACTTGCATTTGTTATAACTTATAAATCCCGTCACGCCTTAAGCATTGCTTCGTAGCCAATTGGGTAGCTGTTAACCTATTCAGCTTCCGGTAATTGGTGGGTGAGACAACTATGGTTAATACGAACCGTTAAGTGAGGTTACCGGCGATTGGTGGTTAGAGGCTGGATCATCACAATGGTGGCCAGTATGGGGATTGGCAGGTAAAATTGATTTGTCACGGACGGGGGTTATCCAATACCAATAGTTTCCCATTTAAGTATCACTTTGAGTCATAATGTCCCTAGATTCAACTTTTATTGCCGATGGGAAAAACTTGGGATATGAGGGTCAGGATTTGCGTGACTATGTTGGTGAACGAAAGGCAGAATATCGCAGAGCAGAGGAGGAGGAGCGCGAGGCGCGGAGGTTGGAATTAACGAGAGAGAGAGCAGAGCAGGAGGTCGAGAGGGAAAAGCGGGCACTTGAACGTGAACTTAGAGCGCTTGAACTAGAGAAGCTGAAGCTCGAAGATGAGATAAGTTCACGTGAAACACAGCTGGAGCTTGCTAGGTTGCAAGCCAACTCTGCCCCCACCGGCCCCGTTACAAACCGGTCATTCATCAAGTTGGCCGCCTATAAGGAGGGAGAGGATGTGTCTATTTATCTCCACACGTTTGAGAAGGTGAAGGAAGCAAACCAGTGGAGCGACAGCATTGCAGTCACAGCCTTGCTGAATGGTTTTGCAAATACCAAGGTCAGCCATTTCCTTCGGTAAAAAAAGGTCTTGGAGTTAGACTGAAAGAAGAAGCGCCGCTTGAGTCGCCGTGCTCCCTGAAGACCACGTGGCTGCTGTTGAATTCATTGGAACGACCGGCTCTGACGAAGTGAGGATTGGCTGAAACGGGGGCGATGAGGTCTGGACGAAGCTCAGAAGTGCTACCCAGGACCGGATTGCAGGGTACGTGGATGAAGAGAGACTTCCCGTCGGCGTGGATAGTTTTAGAACATGTCACCACAACAAGTCCTTTCTGAGCATCAACGAGTAAAGTGGCAGCATATTCAAAACCCACGTATTCGCCTCGACTAGGCCAGTCTGGACGAGCTCCACGGAAGAAATTTGAGTCGGCTTTGAAAGAAGTGAATTGAGGACAAATGAAGCCCAAATAATGGGCAAGAGGAAGGTAATCAACCTCTTTGTCAACCTCTCCATCAATATAGGCATTGCAACCCATTGGACATTTGACGGAAGGAAAACACGTGTTATTCAATTTGTTCGCCAATAAACCGGCATGTTTCCGTAGATCAGTCTTGAATTCTTTCAATTTTTGAGTGGCATCAACTGATTTTGACGGACACTGCCAGACTGCTGATATACTAGCACTCAATCTTGGAACTAAACGCTGAAAACTATCTTTGATGGTGCGCGGTAAAATTTCCACGAGTTTTCGTGAATCACAATGCAAAGTCTCACTTGTAAAAAATGTGAAAATCACTGCCGGCCAAGCATCAACCCACTGTGGATGAAGGTCGCGCGTCCCTAAATAAGCGGCACACTCAGTGCAGAGGAGTGCGACATTCGGCACATTTTTATCACCATATAACCGCCTAGTAATAACGTTACTTTCCGTCAATCCTAATTTATAATTATCAGTTTCAACTCGATGACAACAGGCGCACTCTTCGAATCCCAAATCATTTTCAGTCCCCATTGTTTCTTCATCATCATTAACAGACGAATCCGTGGAAATTAGCTCTTCGACTACTTCGTCACAACGCTGATATGCGTCGGCACTCATTCCTGGACGAAATGCCGGAATATTTTGCGACTCAGTTTGACGAACGTCATTTGGAGCGACACATTCCGCTTGTTGACGAGTCATGGAACGCGTAATTCGTTGCATCTAAGAAACATGAATAATATTCAGAACACGTACACGCCGACAGGTTCTTGGAAATAGAAGACCGAGTAACCGGTACTTTAGCCTTAATTGTAATATTAGAACAATTTTTCCGTACTAAAAATAGCAAAACTCAAATTACGGTTGAACAATCTTGGAAAGTCGTTCACCGACTATAGCACGATAGACAACTAAATATCGGCAGTATGTAGATTTTTTTGGTAAACGATAAGACAGGCGACCACAAAATATTTCATTAGCCTACCATAATGAGCGTACAGATATCAGCAATATCTATTCCATAGCTTCCTTTTTCAAAAAAGGGGCTTGTAGTCAGTTTTGAGCAACGAGCGGAAAAATGAATAACAGGCAAAAATACACATCTTACACACTGCTCTTGTGCCACAAATTACTTAATGTTTATGCAATTCAGAGTCACCGATTTTGAACATTGCAAAACATTCAAAGCTTGTTACGGGTCTGGAACATGCAACTTAATACTACAATTATGTTTTTCATTAACCGCCATGCCTTCTCGACGATTTGATCAGAACTGTCGCAATAAAATGGAATCAAACCCGTAGCTCGCTGCTCCAATCCTAATATTCTAAACTGTACTCACTGGCATTGCCTAAGCATATCAAAACTTGAATAAGTTATGACATAAAACAATTAATTACCCACGCACTTCAGATTAAATATCCATAACACCATAGAATCTAGACGTAATAATGTAATATCAGCCAAACCTAATTGAGTAATAACTCACCACAGCCAGATCTGTACTAGTCGAGCATGAAGGTCCACTAGCATCTGTTGACGAGTGATGAATCCGTTGATATGTCCACTTCCATCTCTTCATTGATGCCATTCCCGCCAACTGTTTCTTGATTATCGGGTGAATTCTTTTCACTTGCGACGGCACTTTCGGCTAGACGACGAGCTAACGCACGAGTGACGACTCTCTATTGCGGTACAATATGTCAGTAACCGATTAAATGTATCAAGTAGAACATTTTATGAAAAAATTTAATTATAGCATAAGAATAAACAAGTATAAGCAAAAATAACACAATGCCAAAAAACAGAGAAAATCAAGAAAAATGAGTGCATCTTAAGGGATTAAACTGACGCATTCAAAACAAGAAAACAAAGAACACATATTAGCTGAATGACGGTAGTAATTAGTGGCCGCATGAGAAAAAGTTCTCTTAAGAATTTAAACATTAGAGATTACTAATAAACTACTGAACTCAGACGAAAATATAGTAAAATTATTCTAAATTGGTGAACAAACTACTAGTAGGTCAGCCCAATCAAAAATAACGAAACGATAAATAGTCATTTTACTAAAAAATATATATCTCAAAAGGATCCGGAAAATTACGTAAACAGCTTAAGCATATTACATGACTGGTACTCACCGAAGGAAGATCTGAACTTGTCGAACATGAAGGGCCAACATCAGTGGACGACGCATCAACAACTTGTGATGTGCAGTCTAACTCGATGTGAACGGATGTGCGCGATTTTGAGCGGGTACCCGTTGCAGACGTCTGTAATATTGGCAAAAATTAAATTTTTTCGTGTCACATTAGAGTTTTGACAAGTCAAAAACATTTGCAGAAATTTGTACAATAACCAATTTGCAGAAATTTTTATAACTGCTGCACAAAAAACAATAAAAATTCGAGTAACAACAGTAGCGACATTTCCAGGAATATAACGGAAAAAATCTGTAGACGATTTCTCATAAAATTATTTAAATATTACTAATGGACTAAACCGTGGACAATATAATACAATAACTTGCGAAAAAAATCATTTTATTACTCACCGCCGTTACTGGTACACTAACAATTGCAAACTCTGGATGCCCTCTCTTTAGTCTCTTCTTCGGAGGACTCTACAAATTCAATGGTAACATTTAAAAATTTGGTAATAGGAATAAATGAGATAGGCAAAAAATTAAATAACCAAAAGGAAAAATCAGCAGGAGCAGAAAATATGCAGAACACATTAGAGCAGTAGAAACGACATTTAAATCACAATACAAAAATTCTTTAAACTTGCTTTAAATATACAAACTGCTACATTATCCCGTTGCATCTCAAATGACCTAGACTTAATTCAATGTACATAATTGTAAAGCCTTAACATATCAATACGTAAATTATTAGGTATGCACAACAGAATTAGAGCAGTGAGGTGAGTGTTCGAGACCGCAACAACCTGTGAATGTTCTGTGATGTTAAGAATCAGCGACAGGCCAACGGCCTAATGATTTAGTAAGAAATTGGGTAATGCGAAAATTAATCTGACCTGTGAAAAATGTAATTGCACAAGAAAAGCAAAGAATGAAGTAATAACGAAATAAGCACATGCGAGTACCAAAATCAACAGTAGTCATGACCATCCTGAAAATTACCGATTAAATAACAGTATAAACTACACACCAATATTAAGAATATAAAATCTATCGTATCAAATTACAAAATAAAATTTAAGGAACATATGTCAGAATTATCGACGTAACATGTCCCGTGATAAGATATTACATTTATGAAAAATTAAAGAACAAGTTGTCCATTTAGAAGTTAAATTAATGTAACAGCTGCTGCAATTGATCATTCATAGCACTCACCAATGACAAATTTCTCACTGCCGAGGTCGAGGGCATTGACACGTCTTCCTCACGTGAAGAGCAGCCTGCCTTGCCATGCGCTAAGGTGTTCATTGTCGGGCAATGACCAGGAGTTGGACCATCTCTTGACGGGCTCTGTGAAGCAATTAGAATTTGTTTACTTCAAATAAAAATTGTAAACGAAAGCAAATATGATTGACAAAGATATTATTATGGATAACAGTGAAAAAAGACCAGCATTGTAAAACTGAAGCCTACACAGCAGAAGGTCTATTTAAAATAACAATACCTCAGAGATCTGTGAAGTCGGAGATGTTGTAGCCACGTCGGGTTCAGCTCCTTCATGGCAGTCCTCCGTGTAGTGACCAAATCTGTTACAGCTGGAGCACCTCCTTTTCTTGGGCTTCTTTTTTGGTCCCATCTCTAAGATTCAATTGAATTTTAATATTAACTCTGAAATTATACAATGTCTCGATGATATACTATAGTATAAAATATATTAGGGTTTCAATCAAATTAATGGTAAATAAATATAAAATTCAACTTTTCCTTACTCTCACCCCATGAAAGTGTTTCTTTTGACCTAAAAATACAACCAAAAAAATTTGAAGGATTCAAGATTTATAAGTTGCACAAAAACTTTCTTTTCCAGTTTTTAATGTCCATCTGATATTATTTATAACAATATTTAATTTGTATCTAGAATGTTTCATGAGTGTACATTTTTACTTATTTACAGGAAATTAAGAGTTAAATTACAAATTCTTTGTTGGCAATGCTTTGTTAAAGTTTACTTCATGCTAGACTATTTGTGCAACCAAAATTATACCCTTATGTCATACAGCGCAGACCTCCACAAGACTACAGATGAAAACATAGAATATTCCTTATGTATCACAGGAGCAAATGAAACAGTAGCATATTTGCTAGGTGACTAAAGATAGCTGCATAATGAAGAATTCAATCTACTAGTGCTATCACACACACTCGTGGCACCTGGCTGATGGGAGGCACATCTGGAAATATTACAGGGTCCAAGCTACCATAAAATTGGCAGGTTCTTGGCAATTCTTTTACCTACACACACTATAAAAGACGACTATTCAAGAAAGTGCTGTCACTACTGCTCAAGAATTAATACTTTTTAGAGCAAAAGCAATAATTCTCACTACACACTTTATCATATCATCATCAATATAAAAGAGCAGCACAAACAATGGCGAGGTCTGAAAAAAGCCACCAGTAGACAAACAAAAACACAACAGCTGAAAGAAAATCAATTTAGCTCAAAACTTGATGACCTTTTTGATGTTGCACATGCAAATGCATTAAATTTAATCGAGAATCCAGAAAACCAAAATTTAAAGTTTGGACAATGAGAGAAAGGTGTGGAAGTTGGGTGGAATTGATAAGGTGCTTCATGCAATTAAAAAAAAGATGACATGGTAACACCCAAAATGCCGAAAAAATCAAGAAAATATTAAGATGAGCAGAAGTCATATGTTTTGACACCACTTCCAGCAACACTGGTAAAAAAAGCTGGAGCATGTGCCTATCTGCAACAAAAGCAGCAGAAACCCCTTATTAGCTTAGTTTGCAGGCATCACGTACTTGAACTGAACATAGCTACCATTTTCAATATGTTACTGCTATGTTCCATTGGGCAAAGAATCAAGCTGTTTGAACGCTTCTCTCAAGCATGGAATCAAGTAGTACGGGGTAATAAGGGACAGTCCTCAAACATTTTGCAGAAATGCTATAGCAACTAAACTAATTTAAATATTACAAAACCAAAAATAGTGGCATAAAATAGCGGCTTGGAGCAAATTAATATTTATTCTTCTCTTCAATGAGGAATGATTTATTTAGAAGTTTCCAGCTGTAAGCAGCAATTTTATTATGGCTGTTTGATTACAGTGAATAGAATTGAATCAAGTGTTTAACAACTTTAATCAAGATAATATTTACAAAAATTTATTCTATGCCTTTCTCATGATTGATGAGCAATGAATCTAACTAGTTCTGTACAAAAATCTAACTATTTTTGCACTTCATAATCCATTTGGTTCTTTTGGCCGGTTATGCCCCTGAAATCTGCACTTGCTATGGCATTGTTAAATTAAAGTTATTTGGGTAAAAGTTCCTAATCAAAGTGTGGTGTTACGAATATGCACTTAACCTTGTCGTTTGTGCTCAACTACATAGGCAGAGTGCATAAAACATAAATTTTTGTAATGCAACTCCGTTTACAGCTTGCACAATGAATGTTGAATTTTTACTAATGAAGCTTAAATCATTTACAGTAACAGTTCCAATGAAAGGCTTAACAGTGTAAGTCAACTAAATATTATTCAATGAACTACAGCACTGAAATGCTGTGGTGCACTGACTAACTACACAGTTGTTTTTGTCACTGGAAAGTTTATCAATAATGACAGATTTCTTGTACATAGTAAACTGCTGGCAATTGTGATCAATGACATGAAGCAGGTACTGCTTTTGTTCCTTTTGGTTGTTCAACAAGGAGTTGAAGTTTGTATTCACATTCAGCAACGTCATTGACAATTTTCAGCTTCTGCACTTCTTGGCAACTGATGCAGTACTGTTCAATGCTGTTCCAGGTGTCAGGTTCTTACTGTAGGAAGTCAGCTTTAATTTGCATTGCCCTAAAATCTTGTGTTAAAATTCAGATGTTTGACAGTTGACTCAAAGTTTCATCATCCAGAGATTAAACTCTAGGTTCAAGAGGGTTTTTACTGGGTTATCACAAAATATGTACCATTTTGTGCTTCTCTGTATTGTAACTTCTGAATCAAAGAAAGCAAGTCCCACAACAGTTCACTCAAGTGCCATAAATGGTCCATGAATGTCTTTTTGGCTGCACTGGAAATTGACTTATTAACTGTTCCATAAGCAACATGATTTTTGACTAACTGCAGATCATTTTGTGGAGCAATTCCAGCTGACAAGCATGTGTACTATGCTTTGATATACCGTCAAATGGGGTAATAGATATGGTTTTTGGCGTTTTTTGCTAAGTAAAATTTTTTTGCTGAGCGAGGTAAATGTAATCAAATTCCTTTGTTTATTGATTTATTTGTTAACTGAAGTCTTTGCTAATCAAGTTTCTACTGTAAATGCCTTTCTAGGGGTGTCCCTTATTACCCTGTCGTGGGGAAATGGCCACCATCAAGCTGTTTGAACGCTTCTCTCAAGCATGGAATCAAGTAGGCAAATCAAAGCCTGGAAGTAGTGCAAATTATGATAAACTTTCAGCCATGCTGAAACCAGAAGCAGAATCTATTATTGAGTTCCACCAAAACCAGCTTCAGATAATCCAGGGAAGATATGACTACAAAGAATTATTGCAGTTGTCTGATATTTCTTCGTAAAGAGCCAAATGATGTTCACATTAATGCTCTGGGTGCCTATCAAACACACGGCCTGCTAAATGGCAAAAATTATATACTACTTGAAAATTAACACTTTCAATCCCAGTTTAATTTTACAGTCTTTATTCAAAGGGCTTCAACAGTTCAATGCATGTACTGTGAAACTGTACCGTCAAACTGGGTAATAATGGACGGACGGGGTAATAAGGGACAGTCCTCAAACATTTTGCAGAAATGCTATAGCAACTAAACTAATTTAAATATTACAAAACCAAAAATAGTGGCATAAAGTTCATTTTTCCTATCTATGTAGCATAAGGCAAGTTAAGAAATCATACAATTTACTACCATTGAAAAATCCATGAAAAATTTGTGAAACATGAGATTTTGGAAAACTAGGTACCTCAGCTAAGGTCTGTAGCAAAAAAATTGCTGTATTAAAAAATTTCACCTACATCAAAGTTGCCCACAGGTGTTTGCTTAAAAGTGTGATTTACAGAATTTGAGTAGCTCATTCATAAAAATTAATTACGGCCATTTCCGCACAACAGGGTAATAAGGGACATCAGTAAAAAGGCATTTACAGTAGAACCTTGGTTAGCAAAAACTCCAGTTTAGCAAAAACTCCAGTTTACCAAAAACTCCAGTTAACCAAAAAATTAATAAACGACAAAGAAATTTGATTACTTTTACCTTGCAATTGCTCCAGAAAATGATCTGCAATTACTCACAAATCTTGTTGCTTATGAAACAGTTAATGAATCAATTTCCAGTGCAGCCACAAAGACCTTCATGCACCATTGATGGCACTTGAGTGAAACTGTTGTGGGACTTGCTTTCTTTGATTCAGAATTTACAATACAGA